TCTCTAGCATCTTCCTGGGCACCGTGCCAAGATGCAGTCAAAAATACTGGAGGCGGAATCAGGGGGCAGTAGTTAAACAGTCCATCTGGGCTAGCCACGCAATCCCGGACCGCATATGATGGGCCAGGATTTCACGAACAAAAAGGTGGCAGTTCAGATGCCAACTGCCTGGGAATACTGTTGAAGCCACCACAAGGAGCCATAGCGGTCTGACTCTCCGACCGGAGAGGATATGATTATCCCCGATAGCAGGCAACCTTCCAGGTCACGGCTTTTAGCGAAATCGTGATATGCACTGAGGTCTGTGGGGACGCAATCTCCCCAAGATTCTTCCCTTTGCCAGGCATCAGGCCGCTGTCAGAACCGATCAGTCACTTGATGCTGGGATTGAGTGCAAGTGGTTGAAAAAATTGCAGCAGTCTGTTTAGTATTAATTGGTGAACACTCATAACTTGGAATATGTCTGATCGCAGGCAACGCGACGTAGGCCGTGGCATGTGACTTAAATACGCTCGATGACCGGTGAACTCATGTACAAACACACTCAGGTCATCCAGGGCCCAGAATGTGGTGTGTGGCTGGTCGGCTGATGATCATTTCAGTCTCCCACGTTCTTGTCAGTAATGCCTCGCGATTTCTACGTGACACTTCTAAAACGTGAGTCTGGGTGCCTGTCTGTCTACAAACAAAACATTCTCCAACACCTGTTCCGATCTGACCCACATACCTAGCAAGGCTCAGGGTAACACAAACAAAAGTGCAAAAAAATGCTGCAGAAGCCAAATCGCGTGACACGCGAATGAAAAACAACCCCCACTCGCAACAACCACAGTCAGCCGGCAAGTGGGGGTGGGGGCTATGGCTGGCTGCAGTCAAGCCGTGGTGATGGGTGTATCTACATAAGCCGGGACAAAGTGACGTAGCAGCAAGTAGGCGGCGCGACACGTATTCTTCACGTGAAATCGGTCGTTTGCGAAGATTCCCATCGGAGGTTTTTCTGTATGACGTTGCTTACCCTGAGGGCGTCTACTGGGGCAGCCTATTCTCTGCTATCGCAGCCCATGCGACAGAGTATTTTGTTTTATGTCCTTCCAGTGTTGCCTAAAGCTAGACTGCGCAAGTGAGTAGCAACAGTGGGCCGCTAATTTATGCACTTTAAACCGTCTCGAAGCTCGTCTCACAAAGGGAAGGAAGGGATTTGTAGACAGGTGGTGTTCCTTCGGTTAAAATACGTTTGGCCGAAATTTCAGATATTTTGCTTCCACGACTCGGTATCTGGTTTGTCAAAGGTAAAGAAGTTGTGTTCTGAAAAGCGATTAAAGTTGCTTCCTGGAATAAAGTAGCACAGTAATGGCTTAGGGGAACAATAATCTTTTTCAATTATTGAACTAATTTAGAAGAACAAGCTGGGTCAGAACATTTCACGTTCGGTAACCATTGGGGTTACGGTAATTTAGCGGAAGAGCCGGACAAAAAATTTGCTGGCCTATATCCCAGCACCATAACATCACAACAGGTGAATAAGCGTAGCTCCTACATTACCGCATGATTGCCAAGCGATAAGAAACATGAAATGGGTAAAAAAAGTGCTTTGTGTTCTAGTTGCAAGTGGCAACAGTGGACATATAAGTCGTACGTTTGCCTCATGTACAACAGGCCTGGTCATACAGCGTCCTATATAGCTCAACAATTTGAGCAGAAAAAAACGTATAAACAGTAAAGTGTAGGACAGTACGGTTGCCTCTTCAGATAGTTGAAATATAACCGTACTAATAACAGTGCCCTCCGGGGCTCGTTTATTGAACACCGAGACAAACAGACCTATTTCTTATATACAGACGGTCGAATATTCCACCCACAAGGAAAGAAAACAATTAATTTAATGTATGTCATACGGTACTTAACTTTTAAAACCGGCATACCGACCAGAGAGCAAACAGAGAAAGCTGGGGGACCCACTGGTGAGCCGGACCCCGCGTAGCTGTGTCAAGCAACGGCAGAATACCGACGAAACACATGTTTAGGCCTTTTAGCTAGTACCCGGGGTTTTTGGTATGGTAATTTCCAACATCAATATATACTACTACAGTCTATCCGTCGGCAGCATGTGTATATTACGCGGTGGTTGACGGGTTTCAGCCCAAATATACACTTATAATCTCGGTGTATGCCTATAGACCGCAAATATACTGATGTATGTAAGGAAATTAAACAGCTGAGCTTTCAAAACCAGTATGCCAACCAGAAAGCAAACAGGGAAAGTTGGGGGACCCATTGATGAGCCGGACCCCGCGCAGTTGTGTCAAGCAGCGGCAGAA